TTCTGTGAGTTCGAGACCAGCCTGGTCTACAAGAGCTAGTTCCAGGACAGGCTCCAAAGCCACAGAGAAACCCTGTCTCGAAAAACCAAAACCAAACCAAAACAAAACAAAAAACAAAAAAACTTGGAGGCTGGGGCTGTAGCTCATGGATTAGACATTAGTGCTTGCCCAGCATGTACAAAGCCCTGGGTTCTGTCCCGAGGGCCCCATAGAATTTGCGTCATGGCACACGTCTGCTATTCGATGCATTTGGGAAGTGGAGGCAGGGGGATCAGAAGCCCAAGGTCATCTTTGTGGTGATACAGTATTTATACTTTATTAAAGCTCGCCTGAGAATTTAGAAAGCAAAGTCTCAAACTATAGAGATCAGGAGGTGGTGGTTCACACCTTTAATCTGGGGACTGAGGATTAAGATCTCTGTCAGTTCAAGGCCACACTGGGCTACAAGAAATATATCAAAGAGAAATAGCTTTACAGAGATAATCTCAGCACTTGGGATCACACACAGGACTCAGGAGAGGTATCTAAGACAGCAACAGGGTTTCAGAGCTGGCATTCGTTCTCCGGCCACATTGAGGACAGGAAGACATTGAAGTCTCAGGTTTCTCCAGCCACTGAGGAGCGGCAGCAGGATCGCCTTTCCGTCTGAGGGAGAGGAGGAGCTAGTGGTCAGCTGCTTTTCTGATCTTCAGCTTGAAGTTTGAACCTCAATATCTGTTTTTGGGCCTTTTATTTATCATGTTACACTTGTCTACATAGAAAGTTTGAGGCTAGCTTGGGCTACACGAGACCCTTCTCAAGAACGAAAACAAACATCTACCCATGTTCAACCAATTCCTGCATTTTACGTTGAGTCTTATATAATAGCCGTGTGAGGCCATAGTGCACCCTGGTAATGATGCTTCTATAGGCAAAAGCGAGAAGCCTTGCCCTCTCCCACCCCTTTCTCAGAACACTCGTCCTTGTCCATGGTGGATAGAAAAGGTGGGTTTTTGTTGTTGTTACTCAAGGATGAAGTTACAGCTCTGGGGTTGAAGCCCTCACTAGGAGGTTGCTATTGTGACTCTAATAAGTTCCCTGTGTGGCTACCTGAAGAGCTTGTGCATCGTAGGAAGAGAAGGAAAGGATTTTCCCTACTGACCTCAGTTTCTATGAGGAACTGTGTTACTCAGCCTTTCTGTTGCTATGAAAATACCTGAGAACAGAGGCAGTCCTGTCCTAAGGGTGTGGGTGGCTGCTGTCAGTCCATGCTTAGCTGTCCTAAGGGTGTACGTGGCTGGGTGTCAGTCCATGCTTAGCTGGCTCCATCTCTTCAGGCCTGAGGTGAAACAATATGAAGGCGGCAGGTGACAAAGGAGGGTGCTCACCTTAAGACATCAAGGAAGCACAAAGACAGGAAAGGGCCTGGGACAAAGTGTATTATTCCCGGCACCCCCTCCCATCAAGGAAGGGCCTGCTTCCTCCAACTAGACCCCACCGCCAACATTCCAAAAATCTCCCCAAACTGCTATCATATGAATCCTCCAGTGGATCAGTCTTTGAGCCCTTGAAGGGAGGGGCACATTGTCTCTAAATGGTAGCTGGAATGAACCAGTTCCTCACATTCAGAGCTGTTATGCATTTAAAGGTTTGACTAAACTGATGTTATTGGCCCTGTCTTGGATTTTACCTGTAAAGAAAGAATTTTGGAACAGATGACACCTTAAAATCTGAGCTCTACATCTATATTCAGGCCTCTGCAGCCCCTCACACCCTTCTGGATTGTAGCTGGATAGGTAGTTTAGCCTGCAGCTCCTCATCCTCACCTGTCCCTCTGGCTGTCTATGGAGATAACAGATAAATGTGCTATGTAGACATGCATTATTCACTGAATAGACATCGAAAAAGACTACATGCTGGACCCTTGGGGATTCAGGGATGCTAAAAAAACCTGCTCTTGGGAATTCACAGCCTGATGGGATGATGCAAGTGTGCTAAATTCCAAATTGAAATCAGCACCAGACATTTAGGTGAGATGTAGAGACCATGGGGATAGGAAGAGCTCTTGGAAGGAGTTGAGAGATGGGAGCCCTAGAGATTTATCACTGTGCAGGAGTGCTCGGGGATGCCCAGTGCAGTTCTCAGGGCCCTCAGGGATGTTCCCAAATCACCTGTTTTGTCTGGTGTGCCTCAGGGTGAATACAGCACGGGGCTTCAACAGGATGTTCACCCACACACAACACACACCTTCCTTAGGCTCTAGAGTCCAGCTGCTTCATGACCCTTACATGGCGGTGATGGTCACATGCGGGTCACTGTCCTGCCTGGATAAAGAAGCTGACATATGTGCAGGATGTTGTCACACTGTCTTGTGTTTGCCACAACACCTGAGGTTGGGTTTGGGCTGGGGGCAGGTGCTTGCCCATGGGATGGGAGGACAGAAGTGACCCAGCCAAAATTCAGCCTTCATCCCTTGTCATTCCCCTCAGAGACTGAGGGTTTTAGATGGCATTCCCTGTCCCCCATCCCTGCCCACAGCTGTGATTTCTTCCTCTGTACTGGCACAGCATACCTAGGAAATGCTATCGAGAGCACGGCACTGCCCTGCCATATATTAGTGTATTTGCTTTCGAAAACCTTGGTCTTCCCTAAGCATTCTTCCTGTCACCTGCTGAAGAGATGAAACTCACTTCCCTGGCAATTGTCAGCTTCCCTTTGCTGTTGAACCCGATGCTTTTGCTCACCAATGGCCAGCTGCTCTGCAGGCACCCTCGGCTATCTGTCTTAGCCTTCCATCTACTCCTCACAGAAGACGAGAACAGTTCCAGGATCCAGCCCCACCCAACTGATGCAGCCTTCGAAAACTTGGCCATAGGACCACTGCAGGCTTGCACTCACTTACCTGGCAGAGGACAGGATAGCAAGCCTTGGGGTCTTGTTTCCTTTCTCGTGGACTGGCTCCCATGTACCCTCTGAATCTCTGCAATGGTGCAGAGTACCCTGCATTGTAAACCACTAGGACAAGTATGACCTTGCCTTTGATTTGATGCCACCTCTTTGATACTCTCTGACCCACTTTACAAAGAAAGGGAATCAGAACTGAAGTTGACAGTGCTGTGCTATCCATAGAGAAGCCAATAGTTGTGACTACAGACCTTAGGCTGACGGAAGGTGTGGACCTGCCATCATTGTAGAACACGACCTGGTGGACAAGTGGCGCTACCAATTTCCTTACCTTCATGTCAAATGGCAATGCCACTGCTTAGCCTACGTCACTGACCACAGGCATGGGAAGGGGGCTGGCTGTAGTAAGGTGGCCCTCTAAGATGAGTTAAGCTGGGCCTGCTGCTGACACACACACTGGTCCTAAGTAAATGGAAACGAAGGCATGGCTTCCAGTTCTAGTGTCCTAAACAAGAGGATGTTTTAGTGTCTCACGGTCCTCTGGAAAAATTCTGCAAGCACACTGGACACTTGGAAAGATTAAGCAGGGAGGGTCCTCTCAGTATCTGAGTGTCCCAAAGCCTATGATACAAAGTTTTCCTACCCAGTCATTCATAGAATCTGCTAGACAAAGCTCTGTATGGTCCTGGGAAGCCTGCTTTCTCTGTCTGACAGCTACTGAGGGGTCACAGAGAAACTCTATCAGTTGTTTCTGTAGTGACTATAACCTTGAAGTAATTTTCCTCTCAGGCCTATGTTTATTTATAAGTCTAGTGTGAACTCTAAGGCTCTTTATGTGATCTTTGATACTTTTAAAGTTGTGGGTGCTGGAGGAAGCCACCTTGTTCTTCATTTTAAAAATCTTTTCCCATCTATAAAATGGGATGATAAAACATTGTTGGAGGTTCCCATGAGATAATACATGGGAAAGAGTGGTATAAAAAGCCAAGGGTATGGACAGGAAAGTGGTATTAAAGGGCAGTGGGAAAGAAATTTAGTGCTATTTCTTGTACCTGCTGTTTCTCTGGGTGCATTCATTCATTCATTCATTCATTCATTGGAGACAGAACTTCATTATACAGCACTGGCTGGCCACGAATTCCAGAGATCCACTTGTCTCTCTTCTAGTGCTGGGATTAAAGGCATGCACCATGTCTGACTTCTCTGGAGGTTAGAAGCAGCACTTTTAGGGGGGGCAGCTTTGGCTTGATCACAATATACTCAGCTCTGGTGACTCCGAGACTTTCCAGAACTGGGGCCCCTGCGTCTCTCCCTTCTTACTTCTTGGGACTGGCACACTGCTCCCAGAGACTGGGCCTGTTTCCCAGGAGCTAGGGCAGGTCCGAAGACTTGCCAGGTTTCTTCTGCCTAGGGATGAGGGAGATCGCGCTCATCCAGAAAGTGGGCTGGCCGGGGTGGGAGTGCGGTGTTGGGCTACTAGGGTGATCCCTCCTGCAGACAATGCTGGCTCCCAGAATCTGGACCCTTTTCTTTCCCGGGCGGGCACAGCGCTTGTTGCCTTCCTTTCCGCTGCCAGCCAGGTTGTTGGCGAGTTAGACCTCCCAGCCTCACGGGGCTGCTGTGCGGCTGCGGGGATGCTGGTGACTGCGAGGCTGTAGCAGAGAGAGGGCTCCACAGGCCGCCACGTGAGTCTGGTAGGGCCGGAGACTAGCAGGGAGGTTACTGTATTAATAGAGTCCAGTGTATGCCGGACCCTTGGGGGCGGGTCACTGCGGGCAGGCGTGCATATTTGCCCGGAGCCATGCAGCCCTTTCTGGGAGTGGCAGTGCCAAAGCTTAATTACTTGTTTACTCGGGATCCCGCGGTCCCATGGGGCGGGGGGTGCGCTGCGGGCACGGGGGTGGGTGGATTGCATGCATTCCTCCAGAAGCTGGGGCAGGCAGCCTGCGATGGTGGGCTGCAGCAGCCGGGTGGCAGCCTATGTATGTTCCTAAGGGTGGAGTTGCGATACACGGCTTATCACATTTCTCCAGGGTCGCTTGGACCCTTGCAATTGGCAAGGCTGAGAGAAGCAGTCGTGCCGGGTGGGGTGAGCTCCTGATTAATGCAGGGGTTTGACTGCGGGAGGCTTTTCGGCTTTATGGGGGCGGGGAAGAAGGGGTGCAGTGCTTCGGGAGACTTAACTGTGTTTTCCTTGGGCTGCTCAGCCAGAGGAGAAAGCTGCTGCAGACTGCAGAAGGGGGCAGCTTGGGCTGTGAGTGTGCACTTGATGGGAGAACTTGGGGGAGGGAGGCAAAGCCACGGTCTTGTTCCCTCCGGGCCTGTTCAGAGGTCTAGTAGAGAAAGTGGGGAGGTGGCCCAGTGACCAGGCTCAGATTGGTCAAGGAGACTTTGACGGTCTGTCTTTGCAAATGCCAGCACAGCTGTCTGGGGAAGAGACTATGGGTGGAAACATGGCAATGGCTCCTACCTTTCTCCAGGGCCAGTGCCAGTTTCACCCTGGCCTGAAGGTAGGGGAAGACAGAGGGTGTCTCTGAGACCCCACCCTGCAGGTAGATTGACTGAGGCTGGAAGTGTGAAGACTTGCAGGGAGGTTTGAGGGGAACCCTGAATAAGCTTCTCCGATGGAGGGGATGGCAAGGCACGGTGCCTTATAGGAGCAGTGACCGTTGAGAATGGGTGGTAGGTGTGCATGTGTGTGCATGCCTGTGTGTGTGTGTGGGGGGGTGTTTAGTTGCTGAAATCTAATATATTGAAACATCTTCAACATTGAGTCAGGAGACTCAGGGCCTAGGCCAGGCTCACCTTGCTGTGTGACCTTGGACAAGTATGTTGGTTTCACAGCTTCAATTGTTCCATTTGCTAACCTGGGCTCAACAATACTGCTCTTCCCCTTATTCCAGGATGTTGTAAGGGCAGTGAAGTTATTTCAGAAGGACACAGTGAGTGGCCTGGGAAGACAGTGTTCAAAACAGGCTGCAGGGAGCCCAGTGCTGGGGATGTCTGTTGAGCACTGAGTGTTGCTCAACCTTTGGACCAAACCTGGCTCCCTGGGAGCTCTTGCTTTGGTTCAGTGACCTGCAACTTTTCAAGTGTATGATTCATCTTGTTAGACAGAGGGACTGCCTTTAATGTTTAACTCAGGGAGGTCACTTTCAAGTTTATTGAGGTTTATTTTGCTTCCTGCTTTAAGCCACTGGTCACCTTCCTTCCTTCAGGTTTCAGGTCACCTCCTATCCTTGGGCATCTGAATGGAGAAGCTGCTCCTGAGAATCCCCCGACAGTATTTAGCCCATGCCTTGTGTGGTGCAGGCACAGAGCTTGATGTCTCTTTTAACAGAAGGTAGCTCTCTGTTCTTGAGGTTGGAGTCAGAGGTAGCATGACCACCCTATTCCAGGGTGATGATGAAGGGCACAGGGCTGGGTAGCAGACTGCAAGGGCATGCTGGAGAGACCAAGGAAGCCTTCTAATGACTCTTGAGAAGAGCCCAGGACGACAGGCTGTGATGAAACAAAGTTGTAGATGGGCAAACGCTGGGGGTTGTTGGCAGTGAGTGATTCAAAAGGCTGGAGAATGGCTGATCCTGGGGTCTTCTTGCTCTCTCTCTCTCTCTCTCTCTCTCTCTCTCTCTCTCTCTCTCCTCGCTTCTACTTCTCCAGGGGCTGGTGATTGCATCTGAAGTGCCCATGACAGAACTGGTGTCCTCCAGGGGAGGGTCTCCTGCAGGGGACCCGGAGGAGGGTCTGGGGGACGATCAAGGCCTGGTTATCCACCACCCAGCAGAAGAACAGTGCCACCGTTGCCCTCTGTGCGGCCAGACCTTCTCCCAGCAGCCCAGCCTGGTGCGGCACCAGAAGGCACACGTGGGGGCTGGCCGCACCGCCGCCTTCGTGTGCCCGGAGTGTGGCAAGGCCTTCAGCGTCAAACACAACCTGGAGGTGCACCAGCGCACACATACTGGCGAGCGGCCCTTCCCTTGCCCGGAGTGTGGCCGCTGCTTCAGCCTCAAACAGAACCTGCTCACACACCAGCGCATCCACAGCGGCGAGAAGCCTCACCAGTGCTCACAGTGCGGTCGCTGCTTCCGCGAGCCACGCTTCCTGCTCAACCACCAGCGCACCCACGCGCGCATGCCCACGCCGCACCCGCGCCGTCCCGGTGTCTTCGGGGAACGGCGACCCTACTTCTGCCCCCGCTGCGGCAAGAGCTTCGCGCGTGAGGGCTCGCTCAAGACTCACCAAAGCAGCCATGGCCATGGGCCTGAGAGCCAATCAGCCCATTTAGGCCGTGTGCTATGACCGCTGGGAGGCCTGCTACCATCAGCTGCCTCCAACCCAGGAGCCACATCCATGGGTGTTGAGTTGCCTCCTCTCTGGATGGGCTCATGGGAGAGGGGCAGGGCCAGCTTGGGGTGTTGAAAGGGCTTGAGCCACCCCCTTGCCTTCCTCCCCCTGGACCCTTTGGTTGGCTGCATGCATCTGCTTTGGGCACCTGTGTTGGTTTGCTTCCTCAGGCTCCTCTGGTCTAGAGCAGGTGAGCCCCATAGGGTTGGCCAGAGTCCCCTGGAGCGTGGGGGTAGTGGGAGTGTGCGGCTTTGTCTCTGTAGTGGGACAGGAGTGGGTAGTCAGCCTATGTTGGTTTCCATAACCCGCTGCTTACCTGATCTTCATTCCCAGCATGTCAGACTTGAGAACGCCTTGGAGAGGACCAAGTTTCTACAGTCACTGGGCCCAAGCTCAGTCTGCAAAGCCTCAGCTTCCCGCACCCAGTGTCTGGTGGCCTTGATGAGCCGTTCTACTCCATGTCTCAGTTTGCTTAGCTGTAAGTTGGGCGTGAAGATGAGAGACTGTTCCTTTTCCCTGGGGTGTTGCGAGGCTTGCCTATTAGCAGAGGGTGAGGTAATCTGTCCAGAGAGCTTTACTAATTAGCTCTGGGTTGTGATCTGGTCCACTCTTGGAAGGACCCCAGGCCCAGGCACTAGGAAGCCCACATTCATGCCTGTGAGAGAGTGTCAGGGTGTCTGCAGACATGTGGACTACAGTAGGGACATCCCTGGGAAAGTGACTGGCTTCACTTAAGGGGGGTTGAAGGCCTTGCGCTGTGTCCTAGAGACAGAGAATTGCTATAGGAAGGGCAGGTGTGCAGAGGGACGACTTTAAGATGGCAAGGGCTAGGATTTGTTTCATAAAGGACTTTGTGTTCCGGGGGAAGGGACACCGCCATTTGTAATGAGTGCAGTGAGTTCAGACCTGTGATTTAGGATGAGAACAGAGGCCCTGGGAGGAAGATAGAAGAGCAGAGAGCCTTGAGGTTCATTCAGGCAAAGAGAATAGAGACCTCAGCTATGATGACCGGTCAAAGCCACCTAGTAAGAATGGTAACTTAGGGCTTGCTTCCACGACCCCTGTTTGCAAGTTGTCACTCTGAGGCTCTGGCCTTTTCTGCCGTTTGGCAAACAAGGAAACCCAGATTTTCTCAAGCTTGTTCTAAATCACAGCTAATAATTAGTGCTACAGTGGGTCAAGTCTGGGCTTTGTTTTGGAGTTTAGACCTGAAAATCTTTCAGCTTTGTTTCTGAGTTACTGAAAATGCAGCGGGGAGAACTTGAGCGTATGGACAGGGCATTGCTGGGTTTGACAGGTGCTGGGGACATCTCTGAGAGGGCCCCGTTCCCTGAGCCCTTGCTCCCCCCAGGCCTGTGCTTGGTGCTGGAGACCTGTCCACTCCCTTTGCTCTCCGTCTTACCTCATGCTGTGTGGCTCCTCTGGAATCATTGGCCTCAGCCTGAGGTTCTTGGTGGTTATTGCAATGTGGATTAGTATTTGGTGGTGGGAAATAAAGAAGGCCCTGGGAAGTCAGTCACTCAAGTGCTCAGAACCCAAGTATCTCATGTGTGAATAGGCTAATAATCTTGGCAGTGTTTGTTCAGACGTCCCTGATAGATTCAGAGTGGATCCTGTGAATGTGTCCATGTAGTCCAGATGGGTGCATAGGCTGGGCCATGTTACTACCATGTACTGACCATGATATCTTTGTTTCTGTGAACAGATACAGTGGACAGGACCTCGTGGCCCAGGACATGCAGGGCATATCTGGGCATGGAGACTAAAAATGGAGTTTCATGGGATCCTATGGGTTCCTGGCATGAGGATGTGTCTCATCAGAAGACCTACCTCTGGAGGTGCCCTGTGTTGGTAGGGCCAGGAATTAGGGGCTGGTTCCATGCCTTGGTGGGAAAACTCCCAAGGTCTGACTTGAGTTACAGCTGGGCAAGCCTCCTTTTGGCTTCCTGGCCCCAGACAGCAACTCAGGTGTGGAGATAGACTGCACCTGTGTGGAGAGCTTCCAGCCTGGCCCACCATTTGGTTGAAGGGTAGAGACAAGATGAGCAACTGGTCTGGGTTATTGCAGCAAGTTGATGGCAGACCTGGCTTGAGAGGCGAAATTTTCCTCAAGATGTGAGCAGCAACTGAAGGCTCCTGTGCCCTTTCTGAATTAGAAACGTTAAAACTTCAGGGACATGTGGCCCTTGAAATTTTGATAGAGGCTGTGGAGCTCCTAGGAGAAGTCACATACTCACACAGCTCTCACAATGCCAAGTAATTCAGGAGCCTTGGGACTCCAGACTGAAGACCTCGGCCCTGGGGGTTTCATATGCCATCCTTTTCTTACTCCATACAAGTGTCTCTCTCTCTTCCTGGTCTCCTCTTGTTTGGGAATAAAGAATTCTGAGGCTGAGCCCCTTTTAGTCCACTCATCCCTTTTCCAGATTTGTAGGATCTGAGCTTCCTCCCCAAGACATTGCCGGAGGCTTCCAGGCTTGGCTACTTCCCTCCTTTTTGAGACTGACAGGCTGTGGGATTTTTCCAGTGGAGCCTTGTAAGGCTATAAGGCTCTGCTTGGCTTTCGCTCTCATTTCACTGTCTCAAGGGGAGTCTCAAGGGGAGTCTCAAGGGGAGTCTGGACTGCTGAAGGGATGGTGAGTCATTTTATCTGTGTCTGCTCCAGGGAAAAAGGATCCTGCTTCCTTTAGCACGTGCAACCAATCAGCCCTCTTGGCTGGCCAGGTGTGCAGCTCCAGGCAGATATCACATGGGAATGTGAGGGTAGAAAGGCACCAGCCCCCTGTACATGGTACTCGTGGGTCTAGGCAGAGGGAGAAGCCAGAGGAGGAGTTGTGTGTATCCTTTAAGTAAGCAGAGGTAAAAAGTAGGGGTATGGGTCTTGGGCCACTGTTGGCCAGGGATTCCTGTCTTCACACATGAGCAGGTCAGCTGGGAGGCCACAGATGTTTCTCTTCTTCTCCAGAATGAACACTAATGAGGAAGGGGGGTCCCTTTCCTATTGGGGTTTGGTAGAAATCTATGGATTCCTAACCTGGGGTCTTACTGCCTGTATCCCCCATGCAGCTTGGGTTACAGGTTCTTATTGAACTCTATGACTTATTCTGAGGTCACTGAGTGTTCAAAGAGATCTGAGAAAGGGGAGGCAGTCCCCATACTCCAGGAGCTTCCATGCACCTCTTTTCTTTGGCTAATCTAGAGGCGCTCTCACCATGCCCCTCAGCTAATTGCCCAGCTTGTCTCTTCCCTGCTGTAACTGTGCCATGCCTTCCCCTGTACTGCTCTGAAACCTTCGTCTTCCCCTACTCCCAAAGCCCCCTTATTCACCAGGGCTGAGTCCCCCAGCCCACCCTGCCTATGCTCCCTCTGAACAGTACTCATGCTAACATGTGGCGTCTCCTGTGAGTACTATGTGTTGTTTAGTCTTGTGCTCACTTTTTCTGTGTGTGCGTATGTATATGTTCTGTGTGTGCACATGTGCACCTCAAATTCCCAACTAGACTGTGAGCTCCCTGAGGGCAGGTGGCTATCATTTCTTCTTCAACCCCAAGTGGGTCTAGCACAGGGCTGGGCTCCCAACTCTCAGGAAAACACTTGTCAACTGGCTGATGAGTACATGTTGGATGTTGGGGGTGGTGGTGGAAGGCGTTTGAGGTGAGTACATGTGAGTTAGCTAGGGGTGCATTGAGATGAGTTGTGGGCTGGCTCATTGGACCAATAATGGATGCTCCAGGCCTCAGGTCCTTGCATTTTGGGGGTGGTAGAAGCAGAAGGGATACTCCCCCCACACACACACCATGGCTACACAGGAGTGCACTTGAATGGATGTCCAGGTTGGATATCCCTGGAGGTCCCTGACATCTGTTGGAGCTGACTCAAATAAATGTTCTCTGTAACACTTGGGATGTGGAACAGTCTTTGGGGGACATAACCGGGAGGAGGGTGTGGCTTCTGTCTCAGCCTCCATTACTTGTGGGAGAGTTCCTTCATGGTAACATGGACTTGTGTTCAAAGTGGAATAGTAGCCACAGACTAGGAAGCACTAACTACAGCAGTTAGCACCGGCCTCCCTGTCCAGTAGTGACTGCTATTGGGTACTGATTACCAGACCCCAGCATCTTCCGATCATAGTCAGCCCAAAATGGGACAACACCCGCTCAGAAACCGCGAGGTGATTCCTACTGGCTCCCAAGCACTGGGCCACCAAGAAGATTTGAGTCAGGAGACTGGACTCCAGGCTGGGCCATCGGGCCAGTCACATCTCTTCTGATTGTAGTTCTAACAGAGCCTGCACTCTTGACTTCAAGAGCTGTGGTAAGAATGAACAAGTCAGATAGAACTGATGCAATTTCAGAGCACATCCCCACCCATGTCTTGTCCCAAGGTGGACCGTGTCACAGACCACGTCTTCTCTAGTGCAAAAGCTAGATAGCACCTTGATGCCAGGCAAGCCTCTGTCAGGTCTCATTAGTGTGTAGGGTCCGGGCCCAACTGTGGCTCAGGAGTACTCTAGATTCTGTCATTAGTCAAGGAGGGTCATGAGTGGGAAGTCATTCCAGGTCACTGCCTTTGAAGCCCGGCTCTAGGGTGAGGGATGGGCACATAGAGTGGTCAGGATTCTATTCATATTGCCTAAACTGAAGGTGACAGCAGGGCCCACCCTTCTCTTACTCTGCCCACACAGCTCCCAGGGCAGAAGCAGCAGCTGTGGCCTAAACTCTTGGTCCAGTTCATTCCTCACCATGAGCTTCAGACAGGGTTGAAGCTGGCTCAGCCTGAGCTATGCCCTGGGGAGGACTTTATGAATGACTGGGATGGCAACCCTTCACAGAGTCCTACCTGTCACTCATGGTGGAGGATAGAGGAAGAAAGTCAGAGCTAGTGGATGGTGGGTAAATCCCAGGGGGGTGAGCAGTGTGTGTGTTCCTGTGTGTTTGCACCCAGGGGTGTGTGCTCTGGGCATCACTGTCTCCCGGGAGCTTGTTATGTGGAACCATGGGTCCAAATCCCAGATTCTGCCTGGAAGCTTCCTTTTAAAAGGATGCCGTCCACACTGAGAAACTACCATTGGCGTTGTCAGTTTCTAGCAGCATATGAGGAGATTCACCTTGGAGCAGACTTTTCTATCGGAACACCGTAAGTGAATACTCACTGCTGCTCTTAGACTCAGCAGCACTTCACAGCTGCTTCTGACCATGGGTGATCACTATTCCACTTTATAATAATCATTATGAACTGAGTACAGCCCGGAGGATGGAGCTCTGGTGTAGGAAGGAGCTGGAATGTCCCTGATGAGGGGCTGAGTTGGTCCTCCCCTGCATCTGGATGAATGCCGGGGCACAGACAGGGTCCCTCATGATTAGCGTGTGGATTCAAGAGAACCTTTGCAGAAGCCTTGGCAAGGAAGGCTCCTGGGAGGGAGGCACGGAAGTGCACCATGTGTCTTGAGAGCTGAGAGAAGAATTGGCTGGTGGGCAGAAGTGACAGTGTCAGCATTCCTATAACTTTCTACAGGTGTAGTGTGGGCCCTGGGAGGTAAGGCAGGCTACATGATTCCCAGGACAGTGAAAGTCTACATCATAAGAACCATAGTTCATGCTTTCAGGGTGGGATACCCTGACCATGGCTTCCTGTGGCTCCTACCATGAGCTCGCCTTGGTAGCTGCAGCTCTGTGGCTCTGGGATCCAGGACATGTTGCCCCCTAATACAGCATTTGAACATTTGAGAAAATGGCAGGCAGCGGTCACCGTCCCCCTTCCCTAGTCTCTTAAATCAGCCACAAAAGAGTCTCTGCTCTCTAAAGCAGGCCATAGAATCTTCATTCCAGAGGATTCCTCGACATATGAGGCAAATGGAAAGCATGGAGACTCTGGAGGAACTGGATCCAACCGGTCTTGCTGACTTTTTGTTACTGTTAGATATGAACAACCCTTGCTTGGTTCTCCAGTGACATTCTAGCACAACTGTCTGAATGGACAGCTCAGCCAGGTTTCCCTGCTTCTGCGAGTTTCTTATTTCTGTCAGTTCTTGCACCACATAAAGCTGTTAGGGAATAAGTCTGTGTGCTTTTGTCTCCTTCGCTTGCCTTTTGCTGTAGGTTTTCCATCACAGGCCTGTGGTGGGTGAGGAGAGCCTTATTTCCAGCACTCTGCTCCACTGTCCCCTGATGTCTTGCTTGTGGATGTCCCAGGCAGATGCTGGTGTGCCTGGTCACAGTTCTCATCAGGGTGTCTCTTGAGTAGACTCCTTTCTTCCCACACCACCTGAGTTGCCATGAGCCCTGATCCTTTGGCTGTGTCAGGTGACAGAGTCTCTGACACAGTGTAAATCCCAGGCAGTTTCAAATTATCAGGATCTCTCATGCACTGCAAATAAAAGCTTCTATGTAGTAAAAGATTAAAAAACATATGGAATAATTCAGGTCAAAGAAAATAATTGTAAAGGAAATCATAAATATTTATGAACTTGTAACTCTGAGAACATTACATTTTAAAACTTGTGAGGCATAACTAAAACAGTAATTAGAGAAAGCTGGGCGGTGGTAGCACACGCCTTTAATCCCAGCACTCAGGAGGCAGAGGCAGGTGGATCTCCATGAGTTCAAGGCCAGCCTGGTCTACAGAGTGAGTGGCAGGATAGGCTCCAAAGCTACACAGGGAAACCCTGTCTTGAAAAACTAAAACAAGTGGTTAAGCGGCCCTGCTCAGAAACATCTGATTCGGGGGTTTGCTTACTGGATCCGAGCTCGGCAGCAGGATCCAAAGCACCCAGACACTGCCAAGGTCCAGGTAACAGTGCCACCTCCATCCACTGCAAGAGGACAGACATCAGAGTATTGGAACTGTTTGCACCAACAGAGGGGAACCTTGGTCCCACACCCACCAGGAGAGGAAGAGACTCCTGCTACACCCACCAGAAGAAAGGATGAGGACAATGTAAAAGCACATTCAACAACAGAAAACCCAATATGACACCACCGAAGACTAGGAACCATACACCTACAAGACCTGAACATCAAAATGCACATGAAGCAGAAAAGAATGATCTTAAAAACGTCTTCATGAAAATGATAGAGGACCTCAAAGAGGACCTGAGAAAATCCCTTAAAGAAATGGAAGAAAAAAAAACAAACCAAAAAATACAAGATATCAACAAATCTCTCAAGGAAACAGTTCAAGACCTAAAAACTGAAATAGAGACAATAAAGAAAGCACAATCTGAGGGAATGCTAGAAAGAGAAAAACTGGGTAAATGATCAGGAACTACAGACACAAGCATAACCAATAGAATACAAGAGATGGAAGAGAGAATCTCAGGAGTTGAAGACACACTAGGAGAAATAGACTCAACAACCAAAGAAAACTTAAGTCCACCAAATCCCTAACACAAAATATCCAGGAAATATGGGATAATGTGAAAAAGACCAAACCTAAGAATAATAGGTATAGAAGAAGGTGAAGAAATTCAACTCAAAGGCACAGAAAACATATTCAACAAAATCATAGAAGAAAACTTTCCCAACCTAAAGAAA